CAACCAGGACAGCCCTACAACGTCCAGAGCCTTCAGGAACTCGGGGCGGACCTCAACAACACCAGGGGCTCTGCCACCAAGGAGTTGTTTAACTGCCTCAGTGACCTTGCCCCCGGAAATAAAAGTGGAAAATAATATCAGAATCTAGTATTTTAGTGTTTTTACTTCTGTACATTATCTGATAAAACTGCACTGTGTGTGCACAGCCTGTAGCTACATTATAAAGTTTGATAAATCACGTTTGTTTCCGTAATTTAAGACGTTTCATTTGTTAGCAGCAGTCCAAACAACGTTTTATTGTTTTGACCCACAAAAATCAAGCAAAAACATTTTGGTCCTAAAATAAGTAAAAGTTAAAAGGACGCCACGACATTTTAGAGATCCCATAATCTGCAGTACCCTCAAAAGGTGATTTTATTTAAATTATTTTTAGTGTATCAATTGATTTTAATTTTGGACATTTAAACAACTTATGTAACAACTTATGGTTTCCGAAAAATGTGAATATTAAAATTAAAATAAATAAAATAAAAGCCTAAACAGGTCACTGCTAGCCTGGTGGTGTTCTTGGATAATTTACAGTACCTAATAGTTAATTTGAGGATGAAATTTAATTTGCATTTGTTAAAGTGCACCAAAAGATGGCATCTTCCCCCTTTTGGTTGTGTTGATCTGACTGATCCTCATCGTGTATGACTAATGAACGCAGGACTTCACGCTGTGAGCCACCGAGAGGCCACGATACAGGCTGTGCGCCACGATCCTTGATTAGCATCTGTAATCTAGTTTGTACATGTGTAGTCTGTAAAGCATGCTTCATCTGATGACAACAACAACAAACAAACAAAGAGACTAACCAACCCAACCATCCCACAGTTTCCAGGAGTCAATCTGAAGGCGTTTATTGTAAAACTTTTTCACCTTTTTTGGTCTTAAAACTTTAACGGTTTTAATAAAAATTAACCCGTAGAAGCAAATCACCCGAAGATCAAATCTGTTTGAATGAAAGAAGAAAATGCTTCATC